TATGTAGTTAATAGTTATAATTAATAAACTCCCTGGCTAACCCAAAATTTACATTATTCTTAGGGTGTTGTGTCATTCAGGAATCACATAAAACTATAATGTAGTTTATCTTAAGAATGTTATATAAAAACAGGCATTATGATTAATAGTTTAAGCTCTGATCACAGAACATACTCTAACTGAACTGAAGTCTTCCAAGGGTGGAGATGGGGAACTATTACTCATCAACTGTTAGTACAGCAACTCCCAATGTCACTCATCACTAGCCATCCTGACAGTTACTGCTGGCTATTAGTTCAGAAAAGCCAGAGGGTGGAAAGGTATTCTATTCTTCCAGTAAATTTCACCCATCATGCATAACCATATTAAAATGATCCTGATAATATGCATTAAAATATCTTAATTTTGCCTGAACATATTGAATATTTAACAAGTGAATTCAATCTTGTGTTAAAACCCCATTTTTTCAGCAAAACGGGCAACAGCAATCCTATCAAGCTACTATCCTGTATCACTGGTATTCTCTTCCCTTTCCTCCACATAATAAGGCAATTGTGCAAAGGGGTTTGAAACTTTGTTCATCAGCAAGATACTCTCCAAAACAGAACAGGTCCAAATATTATATGGCAGAAGCAGCTGGCAATACAAAGTTCCAGTTAAAAAATGGAACAGATCTATCTCAGGATTGCAAAGAAAAGCATTCCAGGAAAAAAACCCAATGCTTCTCTATGGAAGCAATTAAACAATAGCTCCAAATGCTACCCACAGTATCGTTCTTAAACTTACCCTCTCCTATCACATAACTTAAAGGGGTGCTGCTATTAAAAGATTGGAAAGAATTCTGCATCCTTTTTCTGCCTTGTTGTTTGATGACCTTGTGTTTCATACTTTTTGTTATAATCACTCTCCTTTCCCTCCAAAAATAGAAAATCACTGGACCCAGATTTTACTCTTGAAATACATTTGTTATTTATACTTTCCTTACAACATTTCCTGTACTTTGATATTAGATTCCAACTACTTCTCCTCAATTTATAATATTTCTGTTTTATCAGTTGCATTAGAGTCCAATTAATTTAACATTTCAATGTCAGAGGATGAAACAGATGTTCTCTCTAATGGGGATACTGTTTACAATTGCCTTTTCTGTAGGATTTCAACCACTTATTTCATACGATTTGTTTTTCTTCATAGTGCTTTTCCCGTAAGCGCAGAATCTGCTTTTTTTATTTATCAATAATTTAGGAAACAAAGTCTAGAACTGAGAAAGTGAGAGAAGGCTATGTTTAGGCCTTCGTTATGGCCATCTAGCCAAAAAGCAAGCCCTAAATCATGGGTGTCTAACCTTTTGGCTTGCCTGAGCCGCACTGAGTGAAGAGAAATTGTCTTGGGCTGCATACAAAATATAATAACATAGTTAATGTATATAAATCACGCAATAAAAAATAAAGTTTATGAACTTGGGGAGTCTCATTACTAGCCGTTGAGGGTCACATCAGCCTGTGGGTCACGGGTTGGACATACCTGCCCTAAATAGAAAGCTGTCAATAGTCTACAATAATTTTTGGAATACAAACATAATATTTCATATTTTCCAATTCTGTCCCTAAACCATTAGCAAAAATCCTACAAACCTCTTTCCCAAACTTACTCATGCTTTGACAGTTTCTTACACAACAATGAACAACTTCAAATGTTTCTTGTGTGACACTGCTCCAGATTGCCCAAGATGTCCACACATTCGGTTGTTTTCACCTAAGCTGAACAAAACCAGCTTCCTAGTTTCAATAACTTTGTATAGTTTTGTTAGAACATTTTCAAGTAGTACTACCAAAATATATTAAATCGAGCAAATGCTTGTCATTAGCTTGGTCCACAATATTCTAACAATCTATCAGGATTTCTGACTGGCTGACCAAAGAAAGACATTTAAGCATCCAAGTGACCTAGTGACATTTTGCTGGAATGATTAACTTATGACCTACCAAATATTAAAGACAATTCTCAGTATCTCTCAATATCAACAATGCTGTCCAGAACTCCTGAGGTTTTAACTCAAATATCTAGACCACAGCTTTCCTATAATTCTTTGTCAATATTTATAATGGCATAAGACTTGGTGGACTACAGTTGCAATAAGTTATGCACAATAAAAGTATTGAAGTATCACAAGCCTGCTACTTCTTTCAACATGAGTGTTATGTGTAATTAAACCCAATGTCATTAATCCATACTTAACTGTGGGTGGGATCAAGCTAATTATTTCTGGCAACTCCTTGGTAATTACACATTCAAATATTTCACTAACAGATTAGCACATCTGCACTTGTTTTCCACTCACTACAAATAAAATTTTAACCTTCATATTTTTGGTGCATGACAAAATGAAATTTCTGCAGTCCGAAGTAATAAGGTACTTGTAATTCACCAAATTCAACACAATTCTTTACATGTACTAGGTAACTAGAATACCATGTAGTTTTTATATCTTCAATTGCAGGCCGGGCCCTTTTTTTATATATGTTTCCTCATCTTCACTCTACTAAAAGTAAATAAACTTCCTAATGTTTACTTCTTTTATTACTCTTAACCAATGTACAACTATAGATGTATTCAAATGAGAAATCAAATAAGCCAAATATTGGCATTTAAACATACAATAACTCAACTGTCAGCATCTACTAACACTTTTTATTCACTGGATTTTAACCTGTCAATCACTGGAATTCTTTGAACTGATAACAGGTATAAACAAAGAAATAATACTCTTCAAAATGAAGAACTGCTGTTAATATAAGTAAATAAAAATATCCTGTATATTCCTAACATAAGTAAGGTTAAATTAACAGTTTTAACCATTTTATTTCTTTTTAATAAAGTTGTCCAAATTATGCACTTAACCTTATGTGAGAGGTATACAAGTACACTATTAGAGCTCACTCTTCAATAAAGTGAGCCAATATCAGACTAGTACACCATGAAGAAATATTTTCTATCCATTCTGCAGGTAAATAATTAACCTTACCAACTCATATAATACTACTGCACAAGTATAACTATCAGGAAAAAAAAACAGAACTCTTATTTGGAAAACCACATTCACTTGGACACCGGTTTCGATTATACTGGTATGAAAAACAGAAAAACAAATGCACAGCAAAAAAGCAGCCACTTTCAGCTCTTTTTATCTCAGCCCCGATTTCTGAGGCAAAAAGCGATCTAAATCTATACCAAACACCTTTCTACAAAACTAAAAGGAAAGAAAGAACACACTAAAAGAAGCAGTGAAATCTGATGCCTTTGCTGTCCAAGTTCTCCTCAGTTAAACCTGTTCAGCATGACGTTAGCTTCCTCCCATAAAATGTGACTCCGGGCAAGGCACACAACAGAAAGCAGAGAACCGACCTGGACACACTGGGGAGAGGAATCGGGTTTTTCCCCCTTATATCGCCCTTACCGCTTTTGCCGCCCCAATATAAATACGCGGCGCGGTTCGCACCCGCCCACCGACCTTGCCTGCATGGCAACCCACCCATTTTGTCCGCAGAGATTCGCTTCTCGGGGGACGGCGACGGAGCGAAGGCCGACGGCCGCCCCCAACTCCCCTTTTTAAGCCTTACGGTCCACCACCACCACCACCACCACCACCCCGCCGGTAAAGGGGATTTCTTCCCGTCTCCCTCACAAAAGAATTCGCATTCACGCTGATTCACCCCGTTCCAGACAGGGCTGCACTATCACACTCGGTTACAAAATCCCGGAAACGGGCGAGAGGGGAGCCGCGAGAGACCTCGGGCCGGCCACGATTCCCCTCACCCCTTACTCAACCGCAGCCACAGCGGGGAGACGCGCACCGCCCCCTCCCCCGAGGCCCAACCCCCGGGCCTCCCCGCGGCAGTACCCTGAAAGGAAGAGGTGCTGCTGCTGTCTCAGGAAAAGCCGGCGCGCTAAGGGAAGCGGCCGCAGGGAGGCCCGCAGAGCAATAAGCCGGGAGAGTCGCTGCCGCATCTCTAGGCCCTGCCCGCTGCCCCCGAGCCGGCCTACTTCCCCGGCCGGCCCCTCCCTCAACAGAAAGCAGTGCCCAAGCAGTTCTCCGGCCGGTGGAGGCGCCATTTTTCCTTCCCCGACGGAGACCTGGAGGCGCTTGGAGGATCCTACCTGACGCTGAGGAGTGCTCCGCCCGCGGGGAAGGAAAGGGAGCCGGCTCGGAAAGAGAGCAGCGTGCTGTGCTGGCAGGAGCAACGAGAGGTGGCTGCAGCCAAAGGGGTGCCGCTGGCAGTGTCTGGGCAGCGCCTGTTGCGGCGGCTGCAGTTAAGGAGCAAAGGCCTCTGGACTGTAGCCTTCCTCCGGGGAGTGTGTTTGTGCGCGCGCGTGTGTGTGAGTGAAAGAGGTAGAGCCAGCGCGCGACCCCGTTACAGAGAGTGTCTACTAACGAAGACAGTCGCCCTTTGCACACCAAGTCCGAGTCACTTGATTTACTTCCCGAGTAAAAGGGGTAAAACACACACGCAAACACTAAACCACCCTGGCAGCTTTCGTGCCCGCTAAACACAAAAAGGCGAGGACGCGGCGAGGCACAAATGAACAACTTACTTCCGCACAGCTCCTTAAGGCGCAGCTATCTAGAAACGGGCCCCGTCCTGATTTAGGAGTGTTAGCAGCTCGAGGGCCCAATTCCAACCCTAACTCCACGTTCCCTTGATTTGGAAGAGGATTAGCTCTTTTACAGGGCCATAATAGCCGGAGGTAGGGCTCAGTAGCCGAGTGTGATTTCCCACCCGTGTTCTTCTGAGTTGCTGAAGTACCCTACAACTGATGAGGATCGAGAGGGACTCGATTCAACCCGCCTGGTGGGCTTCAGATGGGGGGCTGTTAATTAACTGGTGTAATTTTGATTTTTTTTTTGAGCTGCTACCTCCGTCTCTCTTGATTCCTTCAACAACCCTGCGTAGTCTTAAGCAAACTTAAAAATCTCATCGGGTTTAAGCTGCTTAATTACATAGGGCTGATGTAATAAATGATAAGGAACACTTCCTGGAAAATGAAATGTAATAACTTAGAACATGGGATGAAAACTGCTACTGAGCGTAAATTTCACAGGTTTGCAATTTCACATGATGATTACTAAATGTTTGACTTTGAAATTTGCACAGCCAGTCTGAAAGATAAGAGCTGAGGTAAAGTTTCATGCCGGAACTCACACACGTCATACAACCCGCCTTGCCTACCCTACAAGGTTCCATCCCAAAAAGGTGCCGGAACTCCATTCTGGGCGTTCTATGACAAAAAAAGCCCTGAAAACAAGTATATACGGTACATAAGTGTATATTGTTTTCAGTGTACATTAGTATTCATAAAATGAGAAGTGGAATGAATCAAATACACAATTCATTAAACAATATGCTTCCAAAACATATTAGATCCTGTCTCTAGAATCTGATCCTGAATTGCAGTTTGTTTTTTTTACAGAATTTGGTTTGTGCATAGATGAATATGAAGGATCAGATGAAAGAATATACATAATAATAATAATGATAAAGTTGGAAGGGACCTCGGAGGTCATCTAGTCCAACCTCCTGCTCAGGCAGGAAACCCTATACCATTTCGGACAAATGGCTGTCCAGTTTCTTCTTAAAAACGTCCAGTGTTGGCGCATTCACCGCTTCTGGAGGCAGGTTGTTCCACTGGTTAATTGTTCTAACTGTCAGGAAGTTTCTCCTTAGTTCTAGGTTGCTTCTCTCTTTGGTTAGTTTCCACCCATTGCTTCTTGTCCTGCCTTCAGGCGCTTTGGAGAATAGCCTGACTCCCTCTTCTTTGTTGTGGAGATAAGACCAAAGTGTGGTTGTGATGGACACGGGAGTGAGGAAGATGAATTCTGAGAAGAAACATTTACTCTTAAACAACTTTTTCTTTAACAGCTTTTTTCCTTTCTGCTCACTGAGGGTTTTGCAGACAAGCTTGCTAACAGTTGACATGTTAGGGGGGTGCAGCGACAATGAAGTGAGACAGATTCACAGGTTCAACCACTTAGCCAGGATGTTGGGTACATGAATTATAAGAAATTATAAGAAAACCCAAAACCACATAGCTGGCACAGGAAACTAGAAGCTTTGCAAGATTCTATGACCTAAGGTGGGCAAAGATGGTGTGACATTTAGCTATTTTGCATAACAAGCGAGAGTTTTAGGGGGCTGCAATCCAGGTAACCAATCAATATTATATGTTATGCATGTATTATCAGGGGGAGGGAAAAGGGATGTGTTGGGTGGGCAGAGGGGTGTATGAAAATCACCTTTGATTATAAAAACTGCTGTTTAACTGTAAACAGCCTCGATAGCTTTCAAAGCTGGGGTGACTCATCTTTGGTACCAAAATAAAAGTGTGTTTTTCCATACCTTGAGTTTAGTGTAATTAATTGGCTTCAACACCAAGCTAAGACCTATTTTTGGGAAGTACAAATATTCAATCTAAGCCCAAGCAACTGAATGTACAGGCAATGTTTCATGAAGAGATAATGATGTTTCCACAAGACAGTCTGTGGAAGAATCAAGAATCCTACAAAAAGCAATAGAAAGATTTTTAACACAGACTTAAAACTTTTTAAACTTTATACAAGACATTAAGAGTTATTTTATTAATGAATTGAAGCTCATGAGCATATTTGATTCAAGAAATTTTAGGTTATAATGTTGCAGTCTCCAGGGAACATCTCAGAAACCTTAGGATATTTCGGATATTTCCTTCCTCAGAAAGGAATTTTCCCCATAGAAAATTAAAGCACTCTCTATCCTTCTTTGAGTTGGCACTGATTAATTCCAGTGTAAAACTGATTGGACCCACTGCTAATCTCTATTTTTCTTCAAGTAATGGGAAGTAATGGGAAATAAACCTGGGGGAAGACAGTAGGCCAGAAATAGTCTGAAAGAGGAGAGAGGCAGCCTCTCCTATGATTATGCAACTGGCAAAGTCCTGGAGAAAAGAAAACTGAAGCTGAGCAGCTGCTGTGCTGTTCTTTCTTCATAGGGCAGGAGGGAAAGAATAGAAACTGACATTCCTAATTTTATAAACACTGAAGTGAGAACTAACAAGGTGGCTATTTCTCAAAATAAGGATCTGCAATAACACCATGTCAGAATACAGCACTTTTAATATGGGATGGTACTAATATTCTTTCCCCTCTCCATACAAAATATTATTTTATTTTGTAATAGCAGATATCAGTTCTCATTGCTACTTTTCTGGAGCCTGGATGAAAGTTGGTGCCCCAAATAGGAGCAAGGTGACCAGCTGAAAAGGAATTCCGAAACCAAAAGCAAAGAGCACAAATGTAGGTAGAGAAATAGCTCTGGGTAGAGATTGGCTAGTAATCAGAGGGATTCTCTATCTTTCAGCTCTTTCCAAAAAGATCTTTGATGATACATGAGAATTCATGTAATCAAGAGGAAAAAGTTCATCAGGGTATGTTGTTATCACAACAAACTGCAAATACTGTAGAAAGAGTGAGAAAGGAATGTACCTTAGAGACGGAAACCTATGGTAACTCTTAACACAGAGGTCCCCAACCTCGTGGAGAGAGGTTTTTCCACGGACTGGAGGAGGCGTGGTTTTGTGTGCTGCCTTTATCCCACGGATGGGGCTTTGCTTGTTTGTGCAGCCGGGTTGTTGGCATGCCGTGGCCTAGTACCAGTCCACGGACCAGGGCTTGGGGACCCCTGCTCTAACAGCAAACTGAAGCCTTAGCTCTATTAGAAACAGGATATATGCTTTTCTGGGATGTAATGGAAGGCTTGGATATTATATAGGAACCTTCTATCACTCTTCTAAAGTCATTCAGGAACTGGGAACAATGTGTACTATATCAGGATCCATGTCATGATGTCATTCCCATTGCAACAAATGGGAAGGAACCTCTATAAGGAAGAAGTGTACACTGAATATATTTTATGTATAAATATTTTATGGTTTCCTGGTTACTAATTCTTTAAGGTTTGCCAGCTCAAAGTATCTGATTGAGAGGTAAAATAATTGTGGTTTATAATCTGCAATGGCTGGTTTCATACATGCTAAGCAAATATTAGAAAGCCGCTTTAAGATTTAGTGCAATATGCGAATTAAGCAAGTAAAATAGATACCAGATACTGGTGTCCTCATCAAAAATTCACACAATAGCTATTTTTGAAAAAATAGAAATTTAATCCCACATATTCTCTTTCCACAACAAATAATAGCAAAGAGCTAGAGCACTTTAGCTTTTTTATTTTATTTTATTTTATTATTACTTTGTTTTGTGGTCCCACCAGCTTGCCTACTGGCACATGTTACTTCATGCAACGCACCATTGTTGCTATTTGTCGTGCCATTTGTAATCAGTCTGTGAGATCTTCTTACAGCAGCTAACTAGGTGGTCTACTATTTCTTCAGCTTCTTTGCAGAGATGACATTTGTTTTCTATTGCTATCTTATCAATTCTCAATTCAATTCTAAATTTTCAATTATTATTTTAGATGCATTGGCAGTTCAATTCTAATACGCAAAATATGCTCTTATTAAGTACAAAAGCAGAACAATGTTGAATCTAGTACAGTCAAAGATTGTGAATTCTGGGAGATACAGTCCTATCCTATTTAGAGGATACTGTACCAGATTAGGGAACCATTTCTTAGCTGAAATGCAGTGAATCAGCTTGGAATACTGTGTGTGGATATTTTATCAACTTTCTTCACTATAATGTCAGCCAGTTGCTAATTGTGTGCAGGTATATCTCACTGTATGTGTAATATATTGTGCTTATATACTTTCACCTGAAGGGGTTGTGATCTGAGTCTGGCAATTCCCATTTAGTGCCACTGCTTTGGAAAACTAATCAAATTTACCTATTGGCTCAGCTTCTCAACAATTTGCAGAGTTTCCTTTGGAGTTTAGAGGTGGACATTTTTCTAGAGGTAGAAATTCCTGGACCTTTCACTCCTTTGTGCAAACAAGACCTTTCCACCATTTCCCTGTCCTTTCT